ATATTAGATCCGTAATCTAGTCCAAGACTAAGCTTTATTGGACAAAAGATAAAAATCAAATTAACTTTATAAAATTTAATCAATTTGGACAAAAAAAAAGAAGATCAATTTAGACTTAGCTTTACGCTAAGTCACTTGTCAAACTAAATTTTTCACAAGTTTAACTTTTAATGTACTTTGATTGAATCGTGATCGTAAAAAAACATTATATTAGTTGCTCTTTTTGTGTTAATATGAGAATTGATTTTATGTTAGTTTTGAGTTTTTTTTTTTAGTTTTATAATTAGATTAGTTGATAAAGATATTTTTTATTTTATTTCTATTCAAAAAAATTACTTCAAATAATTTTCAAATAAAAAACCTACTAAAAAATGAAAAAGTATCTTGAAAACTCCTATTTAATTCATATTTTTTTTTAAAATAAACTCTTGTTCTAATTTTGTGTCTATACTAATTGTATCATTTCAAAATTTCTCTAAATAAAAATCATGTACATCATGAAAAATGTCCATTTGAAACTTGCTAACCACGTATTATCAATGGTATCATTACGTAGGTATTCACATAAACTTATTTTTAAACTTTGGTCCACTAGTTTTGACGAGGGTGCAATGTAGGTTGCTACTTTATGTGGTATGTATCACCTAATATTCATTTTTATTTTATTTATAAAATAATACTGAAATTATTTAAAAACTAAAAACTCATTTTCCTTCTTTTCTTACTTTTTAATGTTGCGCCGAATGCCTCACTACTGTAAGCTTCATCAAACTACATGTATCAGGGTATGGTTGTTACTAGCGAGTCATAGGTATTCACACGAAAAGATAAAGAAGCTGCTACCAAGACTAAAAGTAAGAGGGTTTTTAAAGGAAGAGGAGAAGGATTTCAAAGGGCCTAGATTCTTTTATTGTGATGAATTTGGAGTGGATATCATATAGTCCTTAAAGCGACCAAGAGAGAAAGAGAAATTGAGAGAGCTTTAAGGATGAAGGCTTCTTCTTTGACTTTCTTCTTTTTGGTACAAATATTGTATGGAAAATAGGAAACCATCAAATGAAATAGGAAATGAGATAACAAATAAACAACCATTAGTTGGTTAGTTGAGAATTATAACTAAAACCATAATTGTAACCGATCCTATTTGCTAGAGTTTTTTACTTTGGAGTTTGTCTTTTAAAAGTATTTCTACAAACAAACAAGTAAATGTAAGGTGCTTTTAGTAAAAACAAAAGTCAAATATGCTTTTGATATGCTTAAATATAGAAGGTACAATGTATAGTTTTAAAAGATTAGTTACACTTTTACTAAAAATTTATAATTAAAGTTTTAAATTATTTTTATCAAACACATAATTTATGTTTTTTTGATGAACTATTTTTTAATATTATTTTTACCAAACGTCAAATAATTTTTAAATAAAAGTAGTTTCGGTAACAATTATTTTAACAACACTTTTAAAACTCTTATCACAAGCTACAACAACTAAATGCCCACTTTTTTTTTTTTTTGAAAAAAACGATAAAATCTTCATTAACGCAAAACCTCATACAAGAAAGCTAGGAACTGATCCCTAGTATAAAGACTAGCATATCAATGAAAAACTCTTGTTGGTGAGTGAGCTTCCATATTTGCTTATCGGCGAACCCATCTAACATTTATGTTTTGTCTAACCCGAAGTAACTCCTTATACTCTTTGGTGATGACACCCATTTCAGACAAGTTAGCTCTATCAGTATTCAGCACATCTACCAATGTTTTGGCGTTAGTGAGAATTGATCCTTGTTTATGGAAATGCTCAGTGGCCTAGATGATCGCTTCACGAACCACAATTGCCTCCACTATCTTTGATGGACAAAGTCCCTCGTAATGGCCTGAACTTGCTAGGCGGAAGTTCTCTTCCCCATCATGAAAAATGGCCCCAAACCCGTACGTGTGTGTATCCTTGAAAGTAGCTCCATCGACAAAACAGAGCCATTCATTGCTAATATTCTCTTCAGTGATTATTGGGATCCATCAACAAAACAAATGCCCACTTAGTAATTGTAATTTTTATATTACCATGATCATTATAGTTGTGATCAAGAGTCATGTTATTATGTAATTTTATGTAATAGCTATGTAGTTTTGTATGCTTTATAAATCTTATAAATGTGTTGGGGGAATGCCTATTTAATCAAGTTTATTAGATGTTAATGCATCTGCAGCCTATTGATGGGTCTTCTTGACATCTTTTTCTATACCATAAAAAAATATAGAAAAGTGACATGGTTAGAATTGAAATTGTATTCTTGAAATTTTATTTCTAAAAGATAACTAACTTGAGAGTGAGAGACATTTTTAGTTAATATCGTAAACTCCTTCAACTAAACTTCTTATAGTCATATAGTTTTAGTCATTTGAGAAATTTAATTCATCAAATATCTTATATACTAGCAACATTGGTCCATAATACGACAAGCAGTTAGATTGAAGTTTAATAAATTACCATTCCATTTTGCTTTGTTCCATAAATTAATTATACTTGAAATAAATCAAGATGCAGTATTTTATTATAAGTGAAGAAATCCTCCCAGCTATGATGGATAAAAATTTAAAATTAAATATTGTAAAAGTTCTATCCATTTAACGGACGGATTATATTCTATTTTATAAGTGCAAGAAAACAAGAAGAGTGTAAGAAGGCAAAAGAATAGGAAGATACATCTTAGTTTGAACTTATCAAAAGACTCGAACAACACAATTCTAATAATAGAAATACACATGAGATTGAAAATAAATCTTGAATTAAATGGCTTCCATGTGGCATCACAGGTGTCAAAATACCAACAAGTTTAATAAAGTATAAATAAAGGCAACATAAAGGATCAAATCATTAAAATCTCGAGCCTTAACATTGTATGCTATAGATTAATCTCTTTGAAAGAAAGAAAAAAATGGCTGATAACTCTTCCTCCCAAAAGATGAGCTTCCAAGCTGGTGAAGCCAAGGGCCAAGCTCAGGTGATATATCCCTTAATTAAGCATTCTCTCTAGTGTTTAAACTTGTATGTGTATGTACGTCTATATATATATATATTTGGTAGATTGGTGAAAATGGTAAGTTGGTCTTGTAGGAAAAGGCAAGCAATTTGGTGGACAGGGCTGGCAATGCTGCTCAATCTGCAAAGGAGTCCATGCAAGAGGTTGATGAATTCCCATTTAATTTGATTGATGATTGATGTCCACATACTAATAAAGGATTAATTTGATTGTGTTGCAGGCTGGTCAGCAAATGAAAGCTAAAGCACAAGGAGCTACAGATGTTATCAAGGATAAAACTGGCATGAACAAGAATTAATTATCTTTTATTATTATTAATTAGGTTATGTTTAGTCATAGGCATTTAAGCAATGCTCCTTTCTCACTATTAAGAGTGGGTTTCTTTTAAATTAATGCAATTACTTCCTTGAACAAGAGAAAAATGTAACTAAAGCAATAAATTTATAAAATAGTTTTAGGCATTTTTCACATTACGGATTATGATTGGTTTTAATTTCATTGAAATTTCAGCACATTTGTCGGTGTAATGTGAAATTTATTATACTAAACTTTTAATATTACATCCATAATCTAAAAAAAACTAAGCTTTTATTTGGACAAAAAGAAAAGATCAAATTAGAGTTAGCTTTTTTCTAAGTCACTTGTCAAACTAAGTTTTTCATAAGTTTGACTCTTAATGTACTCTGGTTGAATCTTAATTGCAAATAAACACTATATTAGTTGCTTTTTTGTGTTAATATGAGAATTGATTTTATGCTAGTTTTTGATTTATAATTAGATTAGTCGATAAAGATATTTAATTATTTTATTTCTATTCAAAAAAATTACTTTAAATAATTTTCAAATAAAAAACCTACTAAAAAATGAAAAAAGTATCTTGAAAACTCCTTTGTAATTCATATTTTTTAAAATAAACTCTTCTTCTAATTTTGTGTCTATACTAATCGTATCATTTCAAATTTTTTTCTAAATAAAAATCATGTACATCATGAAAAATGTCCATTTGAAGCTTGCCAACCACATATTATCAATAACATCATTGCGTAGGTA